CTGGCTATTTTTTTGTTTTTTTCATTTTTCTGAGAAACAAAAACAGAAAATTGAACATGTCTTTGGAACAGGTCTAAGGTTGGTGTATTCCCTTTGGGGGTATGATGATCTCGCTACTCTGGCGTTAAGCCGCGAACTTTCTATGCGTGACTATTTATTTAAATATTGGATAAGATTTCAAAATCATTTGGATACAGCCTCTGAAGCAGACACTTACAGACAAACGTTAACTGCTTACTTCATTGTGAAATCTCCGTTTAAAACGTATTACAATAGTATGAACTTTAGGAAAAATAGTCGTTTCCCTAAAAGACTTGCTGAACGCGCAAAACATATATATCTGGATGTGATATCTTTTATTGATGTTCATAGAGAACAATATGGATTTTTTAGAAAGTCAAGCTTAGCTTTGGAATACTTTGTCTTCAAATACTTCTGTGTTAAACCACCGTAAATAAATAAATATGTTGGTGAATGAGGACAAAGATTTAAAATCTGATCTTTATGGGTAGAATGATTTTTTTTAAATATATTTCCTTGTAACGTGCGTATGGATACATGTTCTTGTCAAATGTTAACCTTTATGGAACAATAAACTGAATGTTAAAAAAAAATGATGAATAAAATTGATCTCTTACATATAATTGTTGATAAAATTTGATCCAAACATGATGATGTATTAAACATTTGAAATTATATGCACCACATGCAATATTGAAGCAAATCTTCTTTATCAGTTAAAGATTTTGATGAAAGTGATGGTAACCAAATCATCATCGTCTGATAAAAAACCAATTTGAATGTTGAACAAATAATAGATAATCTTGATTGAAACAATGGTAATTTCTCATGAAATTGCTCATTTATTTTTTTCTAATAGCCGACTATTTAAAAAGAAAAGAAAGAAATTCTATTCGATTTCAAAAAAAAAAAAACAATGTCAAACATACTCGGAAAGATCTGGATAAGCACATGACATCACGATCAGATCGATGGAACTATCGTGTATGATTTTTTTCAACCATTGAACATTGACTGAACCTGTCTCACCAAGAATGGTGCCCACATAAATCAAAAGTAAAAGTGTTGATGATGCGTTACTAAAAAACAACGACGACAATCAATACGATCGGATAGGTACAGCACATTTTGTATGTGACTGGATTATAGTTTCATCTATTAATAAAAGCAAGCAGTGTTTGGCTTGAATCAAAACGTTTTGTGGCGATTCGAGAAGTATCTTCAATTCCACATTCCTTACACGTGTATTTAGATAATCAATCATACTGTGTTGAATATATGAATTGAACTAAATATTGCCATTCTTCTTTAAGACTATTGGTACTTACTGACATAAAGTGCATAATTACTGAAATGTTTTTTAATTTTAGTAATATTTAACATTGTTCGATTATGTAACAATCGGGAGAAATCATAATAAATTGATCACATAGTGTCATCTCAAAAAAAAACCGATGATTTTATTTTAGTAAATGCGCAAGGTACCATCTTGATTATGAGTAGTACACTCATTTTCTGTTCTTCCAGTTGATAAAGCAGACATAGCAGAAGAAGAGAAAAAGAGGCAAAGGGACATTTCGCACCAACTTTTCATTACGATCTGCAGTAGTAGATGTTCGTTACGATCTCCTGACATATAAAAAAAGACATGGTGTTCGGAATGAAGTGAACGGGAGTTCGGAATGACAAAAAGCAATCAAAAATTAAAAAAACAGGGTAATGTTAATGGAAGCTGTCCAGGTGATTGTAACGAATAGCGACATTTTTTAAAAGAAAAAACCTTCAATTTGACTGGAGTTTGGAATGAAAATAATCGGGAGACCGTAACAATACAAACATGAAGGTCGTAATGAAAAAAGGCAGGGTGTTCGGAAGCGTGTTTATGTTTACTCTTTTTTGAGAGATGTCAAATGATTCACTAGTTTTTATTTAAAGATAGTAAATAAATAACTGCATCGGCTGGTGCAGCAGCTAGAGTTCTAATACGTGTCATCATCATACAAACATCTACAATTAAAATGAGTGTAAATACAAAAAAGGTAAACACTTTCTTTCACTTAACTTCTGCTATGCGAAATTAAACAAAGCAAAGTGAACACACTGTTTCTTTTCTTTGACTGACTGCTCTTTTACTTCGTTACGATTATCCAGACTGATTTCTTTTCTTTCCATTCTGAATCATTCGTCTAACCAAAAATATTTATAGGCGGAGACTTTAATTATATAGTAGTTCCGTTCCCCCAGAGATTAGTGCCATATATTATCGGTATGATGTACTTACGATCTTCAGGTAAATTAGATTATGAACATCCGGTCTTTTTCGCTCCGATTTCTCGACACTGCTTCGCATATAGCAACGACAGTTCTATTCCGATTTTCCGGTTTTTTTTCAATTACGATCTCCCGGTCAGAATGAATTACGAACTCCCGGTAAATTTTTTTAAAGGCAAAAAATCATTTCCAAACATCTGCTCACATGTCCGGGAGTTCGGAATGCCTAGTGCGAAATGTCTCTCTCCCGAAAAAGACTGTTGAAGGAAGTCCAATTTTTGTTTTAGAATAAGCAGAAAAGGGTGATGAGGAAGTTATTGTTGGTTAAATATTATTTTAAACGACCGAAGGCGAATGATACATGCAGTGTAAACACACAATCCAAAAAAAAATCATTCTGGATGTGGCTGTGGAGTAGGAGTGTACAGCTCATGCTCACACGAACGTTTCTGGTTTGTCGAAAGTGGGAATGTTACTGATTACTTTTTTGTGTACTCAAAAAGTGAGTACACTCTAGAATCGGTCAGTGTGTCCGTCCGTCCGTCCGTTTACACGATAACTTTTGAAAGGAGAGTCAGATCATGATGAAATTTTCTACACAGTTTAGTCTTAACAATGTCTCGGTCGAGTTCGAAGATGAGCATGATCGGCCGAGCCATTCATGAGTTATTGCAAAAATAGTCATTTTTCCCTATGGCTTCCTATGCGAAAATCGATCCATCCCAGCTTTCGTAAAAGACTTTTCCCATCATAGTCAAATAAAACCCCAACTATTATATACTATTCGATAGAGAATTTCACGAGCTGCAAAATGGTATATAAAACATAAAGGAACGAGAAGGCTAACTCACCTATTACAAAGATAATTAAACGGAAATAGGTTCCATTTTTGTTCATCATCTAATTGACTCACAATTCGAGCTCTATCTTCCGATCATAGAGTTGATACTTTGAGATTTTCTGGGGCGGAGAACTCAAATCCGTACTCCACTTGCCTCGAAATACTATTGGTTGAGCAGTGACCAATAGAAATCAAGTTATAGGAAAAACGACTTTCTTAGAGTAAATCAAGGCGAAGAGTTCAGATTTGAGCTCTATTCGGCTCTAAGCCCTATTGATGGATCAATAGTCAACAGAAATAAACAGTTTATAGGAAAGGTTTCCTAGTATAATTTTGATATCCACATATTCTAGGATGACTCATCTGTCTAATTCACTTTTTGAAGTACACATAACTCTCGGATTTAAATCCGAAGTTTCCGCATTTATTCAACTTTATTCCCCAAAAATCGACATTGACGATTTTTGTGCCTGGGGTCTCCCTCAGGTATCACGAAAAACTTGTTTTTTTCACGAGTCAAAATCAGATATAGTGGTAGATTAAGAGATGCTTGTTAAGAATATCACAATGAGAGCTCTCAAAGTCTTTTTATTCCTGAAATAGTCCTAACCACTCTGTGCATCCTATTCTTCATTATTAGGGTCCTCATATAGTAGTTATTCACTCAAATTTAGCCAGAAACATTTTTTTGCCCAAAACTTCGAGTTCTCTAAGAATCTGAGCTCTTTACGCCGAAAAAATGTGACTTTTGGAAAAAAAAATGGTAATTCCGGTGCAGAAATGGACCTTTTTTTTTAAATATATAGGATTTTGTTCCGATAATTTTTTGAGAGGGCACTGTTCCCATAACATGAAATTTAGACCATTAGGGTAACTTTTCAAACTCTCACGGTTGGTAACCACAAAAATAATTGAAAATGTGTACAACATAATCAAAAACTATAAATTCTGGCAAAATTCGTCTTTTCCCATTAGATTTGTCTATATGTGCTTGTTGTTTAGCACAAAAACAGTCTTCCCTGGATGTAGTGTTTTGCGTGATCACGAATTTCACGATCACGATCACGCGTGATCGTGCGTGATTGAGAAGTTTTTCTGCCGTTGTGATCGTGAGCGTGCGTGATTGAGAGCTTTTTCTGTCGTCGTGATCGTGATCGTGCGTGATCGAGAACTTTTTCCATCGTCGTGATCGTGGTCGTGCGTGATTAGACATTTTCTTCGTGATCGTGATTGTGACCGTGAGTGAAGCAAAAATTTCGTAAATATAATCATAGCGAATATCTGCAAAATCTTAAATATTTATTCAGAAACATCATATTCACATTTAAGCCAGAAAATATCTAATAGTTCATTGTCTATTTATAAGAAAAACAAAAAGAAAACACATAATTTAATAAATAGTACATTTAAAAAAGCTGAGAAAAAGTATGACAACAATCATTAAAAAATTTCTTCAACTTCTTCACTTTCAATATCAACAAAACATTCATTATCACTTTGATTGTCGAAGAAATCAGCTTCTTTGTTCTTTTTTTAATTGGTTCTTCATTTGAGATAATTGTGTCACATTTTCGTTTAACATTCAAACTATCACTTGGTTCAGCAAAACTAACAGGAAATTTTTCTTTTAAAATATTCATATTTTTTTTCAAAAAGATTAATTTGTTCATTTTTTCAGAACCTAATTTGGTTCTTTTATCTGTAACAGTATTTTTACACGAAGAAAATTGTCTCTCTACAGTTGTATTAGAAGCTGGTATGGCTAATATATCACGAGCAATTGATGCAATTAATGGAAATGTTTGTTTATGTTGTCTCCAAAATGCAAGTATATCATCATTTTCATCACCTTCCATCACCAACGTCGATGCTAAATAATTTTCAAATTCTTTATCAGCATCATTCCTTTCTGGTGCTGAAGGTGAAGGTGGTTTGTCAAAAACTTCTCGTAATAAAATATCACGTGCATCTAGACGAACAGATTTTGTAATTGATGTTAAAGATGAGAATGGTGTTGATGATGAACATAAAATTGAACTTGTTGATGATGAACATGAAACTGAACTTGTTGATGATGAACATAAAATTGAACTTGTTGATGATGAACATGAAATTGAACTTGTTGATGATGTTATTGATGAAACTGGAACAGATGATGAACTTGTAGATAAAGAATGATTATAACGTTTATACATTTCTTGTTTTAATAAAAATAAAGCACGATCTTTGAATTGAGGAGTTTTATGTAAATGTTTATTGTTTGGGTGAAGTACTGCAGCAATAAGATGTTGATCAGTTATTTCCCATTTTTCATCTAAACGTTTACCTAAGTAGTAAAAAGTAATAAAATACTAAAAGATTACGTTAATTATTTTTTATACTTCATACCCAAGAAGGATTTCACTTGTTTAATAGCTTCATCATCATTTTCATCAATTACACATTTATTGATCAAATATTGTTTGAATGGTAATACACGATGAATTGTCGGTCGTTTATCATCACTTAATGCTCGAAGTACTGTATCAAATGGAAATAAAAAACGGCATACATCGAATAAAATATCTTTCTCAATATTAGAATAAATAGTTGATAGTTTAGAATCAAGGATTTGCACTAATTCATCAAAAATGCTTGAAAATACATTGAGCATTTCATATGCACCACTAAAACGTGTATCTGAATACAAAACCAATTTTTTCGATAGATTTTGCTGCTTGTGTATTCGACGAATGTTTGAAACAAGAGTTTTAACATTATTGAAAAGTCCTTGAGCCAAATCACAATTAACAAATTTTCCATCAATTGTTTTTGTTGTAAATGTATGTTGAAACTGTTTGTTGATGTAGTGATCACTACATCCTATTCTTTTACAATCTGTATTGAAAGTGCATAACATCGTTGGTTCATTGTCGGTCACGACGAACTTTTCCTGATCCAATACTAAACCAAAATCTTTTAATGTGTCATTAACAAATGTACGAATAGTTGGTGCACGTTTATTTTCCATTTCATATGGAAAACAGCCGATTGAAAACATATATGATTGAAATTCTGGATCAATATGACTATGTGATATACCACAATATGATAAACCTTGATAATAAAAATTAGAAAAAAGAGAGCTTTTTTTGGCAATCTGAAAGACCTGCCCTACCTGTAAACGGTTCACACCAGAAATCCACAATCACACAATAACTATCCATTGATTTAAAAAATTTTATTAATTGTTGCTTGTAAAAATCATACATTTTATCAATATTTCGACTTATCTAATATAAATAGATATAAATCAAGTATTTATCTTAGCGCATACAATAAAAATTGCTTACAGTAGAAGAAGTTGGTAGTAAATCTCTAATGCTAATATTTGTTGATGAAGATAAACGTTGACCACTATCAAATAATTGTTTCGCTAAACGAACAAAACCAGATCCTTGAAGTAAGTGAAATGCTCGACCATCTTCAGCAACAAATTCAACACAAGACGTTGTAATAGCACGTTTAATATCTTTTGGTATTTGTTTTTTGTCATTGAAGATTGACTTGTAATAATTGTTGATTGTTTGTTGTTCACCTGATGAATTAGCTTGTTTAAGATTAGATCGACAAAAATGAAAATGATTAATCATACAACCAGAACCTGTTGATGACCTGTAAACCAAGATTGTTTTACAATTGTCGCAAATAATAAAGTCTTGTTTAACATTAGAAACATATATTTGACTAAAAGTGTCCCAGTACTTGGAAATTTTAATTTTACTCGATTCATTTGGTTTTGTATAGGATATTGATGTGCTATTTTGTCATATAAGTCGTTCAATATCTTTTTTGTCCAATTTATTACTACTCGTAGACATTCTGAAAATAAATATTAATTAAGATTTTCATATTTTTAAGAATTGTTAAGAGTAGAAATAAAGAAATACGAGCAAGTCTCATTGGTGATTTCAATTACTTAATACGGGATCCAATCAACAACAGTGTATAGATGGCATTATTGAATAATAAAATACTTTCCAATATTTTTAATTTCTATATACAAATCGAAGCCGTGATCGTGATCGTGCGTGATTAGAAGCTAATTTTTGTGCTCGTGATCGTGATCGTGCGTGATTAGAAACTTTTTTTGTGCTCGTGATTGTGATCGTTCGTGATTAGAAACTTTTTTTGTGATCGTGATCGTGATCGTTCGTGATTAGAAACCTTTTTTGTGCTCGTGATCGTGATCGTTCGTGATTGGAAACTTTTTTCGTGATCGTGATCGTGATCGTGACCAAAAATATCAGTCACGCAAAACACTACCTGGATGTCAAACTCGAAGTATACATCTCGTTTTTGAAGTTCTATTGATTTGTAGTCGAGAAAAAATAGAAAAGAGGTATAACGCGGTGAGAAGTTCAAAATATACTCAAATTTGACATATTTCTTCTGAGTTCGGCTATAATGGTGTAGTTTTCAGTATCAAAGTAGGGTTGTTGAAACACCATATTCGAATTAAATGAGTAATTATCTATGCTCTCTTGATTAGCAGTCTGAGAGACAAAGAAAACAGGGTACAGCTGTGTCGAATGTCTGAAGTCTGAAAGATTCTGTTCAGTTTTTGCTGCATGTATGTTCATCTATGTTTTTATGATTTTGAACATGAGGAGAAACATGCTAGGGCTTTGAATTCGCACAATACTGATTTCCTTATGCTGTTCTGTCAGCGAAAAGCCTTATCCGGAGAGAAAGAATATAGGAATTTATGAAGAATATCGGAAGATGACATCATCTGGTCATATACCTGAAGAAAACTACGACAACTTCTTTGTTAAATTACTTGATTAGTACATTAAACTATGCGTCAGTCACGACAGGTACCATTATTGTTTTTTTCTTGTTGTCATCGGCATATCTCATATATGAGTGCCTTTTTGGGAATTCACTCTGACTGAACCGATTGCTGAAACACCATTAGTGTTTTACATATTACTCGGAATTTTCTGTCCGAAACTAGAACTACATTTGCTATCAATGTATTATATATAAAAGAATAATTGTGTTACAACCTTGACACGGAGCAGAAGAGGAAAATGAAAGAAATTCATTGCACACAGTCAAATATTTTACACATGTGTCTTGAAATATCCCTGTAATTCCACTACAACGAAATATATCTACTTCGAATAGAGCCCTCATGCTAAGGATAACCTGCTTGGTCCTGCTTGGCAGGATAGGACTAGGTTAAAAGATTTTTCACAGGACAGAGTACAGATTACGAAGGTCATAATCTGTTAACTGTGATAGAAATGTTGTCACCAGCATACTTAGTAGATTTCAAAGAGTAGGAGCAGCCAAATTATTTACATATATTTCTAGTGTCAAGGATACTGATATTATATTTCTCGTTCGGATAACTTCTATGAACACAAAAAAACTAGCATGTGCTCGGTATTTTTCTTCTCTTTTTTTTATTCAAAAGCTTTAATTGTCTTAATCTGAGAATTCAATGGAGCATTCGTGACCGTTTCCAATTTTAATATATTCGTATTGAAAAGGCTCTACAAGTTACTTCGATCTATAACTGAGTTTAACATAAAAATGTGGTGACAATGGTTGGGTTTTCTTAGTTATCTACCCGAATCAAGACATTTTTCTTTAATATTTAAAAGCTTGATCTTCTGATCTTATGTGAAAATGATATGGTAACTCGTCTTACTGTCTTTGATCAAAGTGAAGTGACTTTTTCTTGTAAAGCTAGTGAGTGTCAGAATGTCGAGCTTATAACGAGCTACCATGCAGCTTTTTATCTCTTGGTCATTCTTATAGAAGATAGAGAAGTTTCTTAGCACTTCTCTTTTACGTTATATCAGCAAGAAAACAGTTGGAGTCATTCTTCAACTCTAATGACGCTCCTGAGTTCAGTGCCTTTATTGACGAGATTCATCTTTGAATTGTGATAAAAATGCAATCTTTACTGTCCAGCATCTTATATGATAGTTAGAAAAATATCCTGTTAGTTCCTAAACATGCTGGCTTCTTTGAGCTGTAAAGTAATGTCAAATGTAGTGTACATTTATTAAAATATTTGAAAAAAAAAGTGGTGTGATCGACAACGTATATGTGTATAATGATCAAAGCAGCAATAAATCTATACACAATAAAATAGTATGTTAACTGGCATTACATCGAAAATCGCTATCAACTACGTAGGTGAAGTTAGCCTCATATTCGAGTAAATCCAGCCAATATTCGTTCAAGAAACTGCTCCAGCTGCGCCAGACAGCGCCAGAATAGAACTCGACGAGCTCTATCGACCGGTAACTTTGGATTTTCCATAACTCAAACCATTTGTGAAAAAATTCCAAAATACTAATTCTTTCCTATGCAAATCTTACCATATGGGTAGTAAATCCAGCCGATATTCATCCAGAAAGCCACTCCAGCTGTACCAGGCAGCGCTAGAATAGAACTCGATGAGCTCTATCGGTTGGTAACGTTGGATTTTCCATAGCTCAAACCTTTCGTGAAAAAAATCCAAAATACTATTTTTTTCCTATGCAAATCTTATCATATGGTTAGTAAATTCAGCCGATATTCGTCCAGGAAGCTGCTCCAGCTGCTCCATAGAGTTCTAAATTAGAACTCGATGAGCTCTATCAATTGGAATAAGTAGATTTTCCATAGTTCTAAGTATGTGTTCTAAAATGCGAAACGATTGGTTAAATATTACAATTTATATAGTAAAATTATCGGAGATTCTTTCAGGAACATGTTCCAGATGTTTCATTTGTGTTCCAAGTACAACTCGATGAGCTCTGTTCAATGGTGTAATCAGATGTTCTATAGTCCAAACTATAGTCGTAAAAATCGGAAATTACTGGTATTTCGCTAGAGAAACTAGAAAGCCAGTAAAGTAAAAGTACTAGCGATTCACCCAGGAAGATGTTCCAAGTGTTCCATTCTTGTTCGAAGTAGAACTCGATGAGCTCTATTCAACGATGTTATCAGAATTTCTATAGACCAAACCATGTCTTTAAAAATTGCGAAATGATAGTAATTTGAGTTCTGGGACGAATGATCTTACTCATTCAGAGTCACAGAATTTACCTCACGAGTTAGAATCTATTAAATTCACAAGTAACGCTCGTCCATGTGACTCGCTTGACCCTCGACTGAATATTCAGCTGTTTCGGTATTGTATACTGCTTCGCAGTCCTCAACACAGCTAGTATCAAAAGTTTGAAAATGGTTCATGTGAATGCGAATGTTGACATTCGTATCAATATTCTTGTATACAATGACATGCGTATGTCTGTGATACGTTTTCTTCTAATTTCATCCAACGAAACTGAGACGCTCTCACTGATATCCAACGGAAATCTAGATGAATAACACTAAGGCAGCAGTATCCACATGCCCCGAGAAAAGAGATTACATCTAATATACAGAGAGACAATCAAGAAAGAAAGCACATCCACGACACTAGCGTGAAAAAGCATCATACTTCTTGAAAACAAATAAAAACCCGTATAGTTACCAGTACATCAACCGACAATATCATTCGTTAGTGTCCACTACAAAAACACGTATATAGCTGAACTTTTAGATTAAAATAAACCATATTTAGTCAGACTTATTCTCGAAATACGCTACTTGAATGACGCTCGTACTCAAAGTAGTCATCGGATTTGACAGATAATTTCAAAGTACTCGAATAAATTTAGACGAGTAAATGCACACAGACATGGACCCATAATGACAGAAAAGCTTATTTTATTTCATTGAAATCTACTTTGAATGGACAGAACTGAATTCTTTACATGATACTTTTCGTCGAATGTTCTATTCGAATACTGTGCACGTGCAGCACAACTGTTCTCACATTTCATTCGAAAACATTTCTTAGTCTTTTTTGCCAGTTCTGGTTTCTATTGAACCTGCCAGATCTTCACTGTAGATATTTTTTGACGGATTACAACAATCTAAAGTATACCTTTAGGGAATTTCACAGGGCAGCAGCTAGTCACTCGTAGGCGTTCCTTTGAGGCGTCATTCTTGGCTAGTCGCTATTATGCTGAATTCTATTCCAGTACAAGACCATTCTCTTTGATTTACATCCTTTCAGATTCTAGATTTCGCTTAGTTCCTGTTAGCGGGTAGTTTCGATCTAACTGATCGATAATAATAATCACACACTCTTTTATTTCTCGAAACGACGATTATATATATAGATGAATGAAATAGGAAAAAACCTAAGCACACTTGGAAGAATACAATTATGAGATGGAAAACATCTATACTATATTAAGAGAGGGTCCGCCAGAAAACCAGGCAAAAAAAAGGGACTTGGCCGGGTCGAAAATTTTGATTTTGGATTTGATCTTCTGAAATGAAAGGACTTTTAGAGTTAGTACTAAATCCAGAATATTAGCTTGATC